CGCAGTGGCTCACACCTGTAATCCCAGCATTTTGGGAGGCCAAGGCAGGAGGATCCTGAGGTCAAGAGATTGAGACCATCCTGGACAACATGGTGAACCTGCATCTCTACTAAAAATACAAAAATTAGCTCAGAGTGCTACTGCACGCCTGTAGTCCCAGCTACTCAGGAGGCTGAAGCAGAATAGCCTGAACCCGGAGGCGGAGGCTGCAGTGAGCCGAGATGGCACCACTGCACTCCAGCCTGGTGACAGAGCGAGGCTCATCTTAAAAAAAAAAAAAAAAAAGAGAGAGAGAGAGAGATCATAATGTGTGTTTATGGGGTACCAGTTACTCTGGAAGCTGAGTCAGGAGAATCGCCTGAACCCGGGAGACGGAGGTTGCAGGGAGCCGAGATCGCGTCACTGCACTCCAGCCTGGCAACAGAGCGAGACTCTGTCTCCAAAAAAAAAACAAAAAAAGAGAGAGAGAGATTGTAATGTGTGTTTGAGATACCATGATCTTTATTCTCTTGAGTTTCAACTTCCTCCAGCGAATTCTAGAAAACCTCACTTATTTTTCTGTTGTGAAGTTAACGACAAGGGTGTTTTCAGAAACACACTCTAAAATTTTCTGGTTTGGAAGGGAAAGAGTTTCCTTTCCAGTCCAAATTTCATTATCCAGCAGCAGGTACCAAGTAAGTTTGCTTGAAGGAATGAATCAATTTCCAAAAGAAATCTATTTGATGCTGAATGGCACTCGTATCATTTCCGGAAAGTGGAATATAATAACTCCAGTTCTGTTCTACAGGGCTGTTAGTTAAGAGTCAAGGTCTTGGCCTGGCGCGGTGGCTTGGGCCTGTAATCCCAGCACTTTGGGAGGCTGAGGTGGATGGATCACGAGGTCAGGAGTTTGAGACCAGACCGGCCAACATGGTGAAACCCGGTTTCTACTAAAAATACAAAATTTAGCCAGGCGCTATGACAGTCGCCTGTAATCCCAGCTACTCAGGAGCCTGAGGCAGGAGAATCGCTTGAGCCCAAGAGGCAGAGGTTGCAGTGTGCCGAGATCGCGCCACTGCACTCCAGCCTGGGGAACAAGGGCGAAACTCTGTCTCAAAAAAAAAAAAGTCAAGGTCTTACAAGAGCAGATGATGTTAGAGATCATTGCATTTCTGTCAACTACATCCGTTCTGCCACCCGTGCCTTACGTCCTGACAGAGCGTACGCTCAGATGGTGTTTGCTAATTTGCCAAATGAATGAGATGGTACCTTTCCTGCGGCAGCTTTGTCTGCCCAAAACGGTCCCCGGATTTTCTCCCTTGTAAGCAAGAAACTCGAGGAGGCCTCCGCAGCGCAACAAAGCCCCCAAGGACCGCTTCTCAACCAGTCTAGGCCTCCCTTCCTGTCTCCGCCAAAAGGCTCCAGGCTCCTCCCCACTCTGGGAAGCTGCCCCAGACCCCTCCAGGACCCACACCCACAGTCCCGACGCCCACTAGCCCGCCAAGTTTCTTCCACCACACCACGGCGGCGACCCTCGGTAGAGCCACCGCCCTTCTGCAGAGTAACGGCCCGCACTTTCGGGACAATCCCCACTTTTCCAAAAATAACCCCCTCGGCACCCGCCCCCTAGGCAGCTGCTGCCCGGGCGGTACCTGTGCTGTAGACCAAGCAGCCGGAAAGGATCAAGAGCAGCCGCACTGCCCCACCGCCCCCGACCCCCCAGCCCAAAGGCCCAAGACCAACTGCCGGCGAGACCGCCACTTTCATTCCTCCCGCCATGGTTGCCTCAAGCCACCGCCTCCTCACATGCCTTACCCCAGCAACTAACCCTGAACTGGCAGCGCCAGCAACCTATCCTGTACGAGACCTGCCCCTACCAACCAATCGGATGGGCAGAGCTTCTAGCACTCAAGGGCCCTACGAGTCCCGCCCCTTAACAACTGAAGAGAGAGGGCGGGAAAAGAAGCTTTCAGCCTATTAGAAAATGGGTTCTCACCCTAGCAATGGCGACAGGAAGATCCCACCCCCTAACAACATGCTTCCGTCTTCAGTTTATTTACAACTGGTGTGATTGATGGTAAAGTTAACCAATAGGAAATCGGAATGGGAGAGCGCTCCTTGACCAAACTCGGTATTTCCATAGAAACTGAAGTTCCGTCGGTTTTCTTTCAGTTCCTTTTTATCAAGACCTTTCTGTTAAGAGCCGCCTACAACTGAGATGGCTTTATGAGTAGGATCCTGACAGGTCAATTTTTAAAGTCGACTGACAAAGTGTGGTTCTCCAAAGTCCTAAAGGATTTAAAATGGAAGTCACAAAAAAGTGTGTGTTGTTAATACTTTGTAAGCATAAACATCAGCTTTTAAAAATGTATTTATAGGTATTTTTTGGAAGGAAAATGAATGTTAAAATTAAGAAAGATCTGTGAATAAGTAAATACTTATATATGATTTAAAAAGAAAAAGGAAATTTAAAAAAAGAAAAGATTTGGCTGGGCGTGGTGTCTCCAGGCCTGTAATCCCAGCTTTGGGAGGCCAAGGCAGGTGGATCACTAGGTCAGGAGTTCGATACCAGCCTGACCAACATAGTGAAACCCCATCTCTACTAAAAATAACAAAAATTAGCCGGGCATGGTGGCACGCGCCTGTAGCCCTAGCTACTCGGAAGGCTGAGGCAGGAGAATCACTTGAACCTGGGAGGCAGAGGTTGTGGCGAGCTGAGATCGCACCACTGCACTCCAGCCTTGGCAACAGAGCAAGACTCTTGTCTTGAAAAAAAAAAAGAAAGAAAGAAAGATTTATTTATTCCTCTTATCATCTCGTGAAACAAATATAATTCTATTTAAGAAGCCAAAGCTAAGACAGCCACAGGAACCTGCCCAAGATTTCATAGTTATCTGGTTTGTGGTCCTAACCTAAATCCTACTGACTCCAAAGCCTGACCTAAATCCTACTGACTCTAATCCATATTTATATGGATTAACTACTTCCCATTCAATGATTTAACACAATGAGCGCCCAGCAGAGAGCCAGGTGTTCCGAAACTGTTAGTAGAAATTGAAACTTTTTTTTAAAGAGGATCTGATGGTGATGGGTAGGAAGACTACAAATGATGGAGCCAAGTGAATTGAGAAAGTCATGAAAGGGGGTATCTTCTGGGGAAGGTTCAAGTTTTCAAAACAAGAATTTAATTTTTTAAAAATGTTTTTAGAGACAGGATCTCTCTCTGTCACCCAAGCTAGAGTGCAACAGCACCATCACAGCTGAGTGTAACCTTGAATTCCTGGGCTTAAACCATCCTCCCACCTCAGTCTCCCAGATAGGTTGGACTACAGGGACTTTGTTTCAAAACATTGTTGTTGTTGTTGAGACAGGGTCTCCTTGGGTCACCCAGCCTGGAGTGCAGTGGTGCAACCACGGCTCACTGCAGCCTTGAACTCCCAGGACCAAATGATCCTCCCATCTCAATCTCCCAAGTAGCTGGAACTACAGGTGTTGGCCACTATGTCTGGCTTAATTTTTAAAAATTATTTTTTGTAGAGACATGATCTTGCTATGTTGCCCAGGCTGATCTCAAACTCCTGGCCTCAAGTGATTCTCCCACCTTGGCGACCCAAATTGCTGAAATTACAGGTGTGAGCCACTGCACCTGGTCTAAAACAAGGACTTTTTTAAAAGTCAAAATGGGCTGGGTGCAATGGCTCACACCTGTAATCACAACACTTTGGGAGGGTGAGGCAGGCGGATCACCTGAAGTCAGCAGTTCAAGACCAGCCTGGTCAACATGGCAAAATCTCGTCCCTACAAAAAATGCAAAAATTAGCCAGGTGTGATTGTGGGCACCTGTAATCCCAGCTACTTGAGAGGCTGAGGCAGGAGAATGGCTTGAATCCAGGAGGCAGAGGTTACATACAGTAAGCCGAGGTCCTGCCACTGCACTCCAGCTACCAGCCTTGACAACAGAGCGAGACTCCATCTCAAAAAAAAAAAAAAAAAGGCCGGGCACGGTGGCT